TGCACTCTGCTGTGAGCACCTCCTGCTACACTTTTGAAACAGTTATTCTTTTGACACACAACCACCAACTGAACTCTGTCTTTAATAGCACAGCAAGGTGTCCAACTACCTGTGAAGGAAAATACTTTCTCTTTTACTGGAACACACAACTTGACACACCAAGGTTATGCTTCTGATTAAGAGGAGCTATTTCAAAATGAGATATTCTTATCAAACCACATACTGATTTTAATACTGTATACTACAGTTGTCTGAGTCATCTTAACACTTCGGCTTAAAACGAAACGAAACACACTACAAAAAGTCTTATGACTTCAGGGTAGAAGTCCCGACTGCACCACATACAAAATAACAATGTACAGTATAGTAAGCCTTTTGAAGCATTCAGATTTTGTTGTATTATGCCCTAAAAAGCACCATGCAAATCAGTTGTAACATGGTTAATCTGCGCTACAATCACAGTGCAAACACTTGTGTTTGACAGCAATTATGGAAGCGAGTTTGTGCATGGTTAATACCCTTCACCCTGCCATTTCAGCCAAGTGGAAGGCTTTCATAAAGCTGCGGCAAGGAAGCAGCAGTGAAGGCAGACTTTAGAGGCGATTTTGGAGACTGACACACAGACAAGCCGGAGTGAGTCACTGACATACTGACAGAGAAAGAGGGTGACAGAAAAACAAAGAGTAAAACCATTTAAACTACTGAGATAGGCGCAAACACTGTATTTAGTGATGTTCCACATTTCTTTGGGAAAAACTAGAAATGTAATTTAACTGACTGACTAAAAGCACAGCTGACAGTCTTGTCGGGCTTTGCATTATACCTACATCTATCCCAAAACACACAGTATGTGTACAGTACAGCAGCAGCTGTTGTGCTGTAAAATACATTGTGGAATACAACGAAGTAGTTTGTAGCTGCTTGTGTGCTAAACATATGTCTGGCAGTGTGAGAAATACGTTGGGTCACAGACTTCCTGACTGACAGCTCGGACCCCATTAAAATCTCAAAATGAAATTTCAGGGGGTCTCAGAAATGTGCCTAGTTATTTTCTATTTATCTGCACAATATGATTTATTTGCATGTAACTTTATAAATGTTTGTTTTTAAAATAATATGGTATTGTACCAAAAGTAGTCCTCCATCAGAAACAGGCTGCCTGCTTGATCTACACCTACAGCTGCTTTTGTTGGGACCAAACTGTCATAAAAAACAAAACGGGTACAACATAGGTTATATCCCTTCTGGTAGTAACAAAGGTCTTAGAAAAATTTGACAATTTGAGGAAATTGTAACTGAACAGTGAGTGACAGCAGCGCACAGTGAGGTCAGACTGGTTTCACCCGCTATCAGTAATGCTTGATTGATCTGCAGGACACCTGGGGCATCTGCAAGGTAGCCGTCATTTACCATGGTTCTGGAGCTGCTTTCATGTGCTACTATAGTTTGTGCACAGATGTGTAAATATTGTGTGTGGATGGAGGGCACGTCCTCAACACACCGCCGCCCCACCTGCCCACCTGCTTGAAAGCCCCCCCCCCCCTCCCCCATAATTTGCACAGTGATGTCTGGCATATGTTTTTTCCATGTGAGCACTCCACTTTGAACTAATTTTACCATTAAGTGTTCTGTTCTGTTCAATTTAATTGACATTACATACGACACAGTTGATCCAAAATCCTTTAGTACACAGACGTAAACAAACAAGAAACAAAAATTGAGATAAATTTTAAAAAATAATAAAAAGTGAAATAACAGTAACGAATAGTGAACAGGTGTCAGTAGTGCAGCTACAGTACTGTACTGTCCTCACAATACAATGTAAAGCTAATCAACAGACACATTATAGTCCTCTATTAACATACAACCACGGTGTGTGTGTGCATGTGTGTGTGTGTGTGCATGTGTGTGTGTGTGTGTGTGTGTCTGAACGCATATTCATGTAATCCCTCATAAATGGAAATGGTGATTATGCATTACTGACAAGAGTCATTGGTTACGCTAGACAAGACAAGTGTATGTGTGTGTACACACTTGGCATTCATTAAGTCGAAACAAAACAAGCAGCAGCAGCTGAGAGTGTGAGTGTGTGTCTTGGCTGAGACAACAAAGAGAACGGGTTTAAAGAGAGCCAAAAGTGGGGTTCAAGTAAAGAGGGAGAGAAAAAAGGAGAAGGAAAGAGAGAAAGAATGCAGAAATTAAGTTAAGGAGTTTGTCTAAGAGGAGCACTCAACTTCTGATCCACACACACTCTACCCACACTTTTGCAGTGCTCAATATGTTTTTGTATTCAATTCTTAAAACTCACACACAGATGAACTAAGGCCACCCCATGAGTACCTCTTCTAAACATTTATTAGATAAGCTGAAGTTAGATGCATCTTGATCCAATTCTTATGGTTCTGCTTGCATCAAAGATTCCAAAAACTGCATATCGTGTCAGGTTAAGTGTTTGAAACCTCTTTTCATTTCGAGGCAACAAAATAACTAGAGGTTCAAGAATAAAACTAGGTGAATTAACCATGGCAGTGACTGTGCTAAGCTGTGTGTGTGTGGAGACCTGCTCTTTGGCAGAGGAACCCCATTTGGAGAATATGGTCATGCCTGTAGGAGAGGGTTACAATAAACTGGCATGTTTGGTGGTACGTGCTGCCAGTCTCTCCACCAATCTCAGGAGCATGGGAAGGCAAACACAGAGCTGATCTCAAAGACTTCTAAAGGGGGCCACTTCCTGCCAAAAATCACCCGCACCTGTCCTTCTGTCTCTGCTTCCCTTCCTCTCTCTCTGCTGCTCCTCCCAGTTTTCCCCTCTTTGCCTACATTACATCCCTTCATCCTCTCTCCTCTGTGTGAAACTTTTTCTTCACTAAAAATTGGAACCAGCTACGCCACCAGCCCTCCCTTCTGTTTAGGCCAGTGCCAGGTGTAAAAGCTCCTGGCATCATCTCAGATAGTCCAGTGCAGGAACAGTGTGGGACACCTATGCCAGGGGCACTGGAGTCATCCTTCACACAATAAGCTTTTTTTTTTTAAAGAGGGAATAAAGCATTGCCAAGTACTGGCTAGGCTTGTGTTTCATTAGCATCAGATAGAAAGCCTTTCTTTATTCAGTCCTGCCATGTTGATTTGTATGTATGTGTATGTGGTGAACTAATGAAAACCACTGAACAGGCGGACCTCCAACTGAACCCCACTCAACAAACAGCACTAGAGTGCAACAGAGCAAGTGAGAATAAAGGTATGAGTGTCCTTGTTATACTTTATTCCTTCAGTGCTTTTTTCCACACTTGGTAGAGAGTAGTGTTTATGCTTGTCTATAATACAAGCCCCAGGGTCACTTGGTTTCAATTCAACACTTTTTGTTGTTGTTAGTCAAGCTTCCCTAACACAATTACTCTCTCGCTGTACAACCCAACCACATTTATCCTGTCAGACCTCACAATCAACGGTTTCAACTACTTGCACAAAAAGCACATTTCTTCTTTACACTTAGCTTTATTTCCTCGCCAAGGCCATACACTTTCTGTACATTGGCCTCTATGTGCGTCTCTGAAACAGGCTGCAGAAAAACTTTAATTTTTTCCCAGTTGTTCCAGTGGCCTCTGGTTTAAAGCCAGGTAGATGAAAGCTTACAATAACTGGGTTCAGATTTGGAGGTTACAGTATCACGTGACAGTTTAGACTTAGGCAGGTGCTTGATATGCAGTGAATGGAGCCTGTATGGGCCGCTCATTACAGAAGGACATCTGCTGCTGTCCAGCCCCGAGACTCCACCCCTAGCTTTACACTGATGCTTTGATGCCCTGTCAGTGTGTGTGCAAGAGACCAAAGGAGAAACAAAACACCACACACAAGCACACATGCATGCACATGCACCCACGCTCTTACACACTAGCACACCTGCCACCTACAGTATCTGGCAGCTTGAGAAAAAAAAAATAAGAATAAGGTTTATGGATGCTGTTTTATAACACAAAAATATATGCATTTTTATAATTGTGTTTGTGTGTGTTTGTGTGTGTGATCTTGAGGCAGATGAAAAACAAGTTTTGAGACACACAGGCATTTTAATCTCCTATAGACACTAAAGAATATTTGTAAATCAGCTTGTGATTTCAAAGCCTGCTTCATGCTGAATGCATTTGAAGAATCACATTTTGCAAAGATCCTTTACTTTTCCAAGAATATTTGCCTAAAAGACAGCAGTGTTTTGTACCATTCCTTCTGAGAATTACAATTTTTCAAAGACAAAATCAATTTCAATAATTCACTCCTTGTGTAAACACATTCATAAAATATGTATGCCAGCTGTAAATTAGCAGTTTATTGTTCTTTGCTACAATTTTAATTTTTAAATAATTGATCTAGAAATGCATGGCAACATCCCTTAAAGTGGCTAATTATAAATGATCGAGATGACATTGGTATTAAAGGATGAATGACCTCAGCGCTCTTTAAAGCGTGTACTATTTACACTTCTCTGTTAGCTGTCATCTTCTATTACAGAACTAATGGACATCTTGCTTTTCTCTAAACATCTCCCTAAAATACTTATGAGGAAGGAAAAAAGAAAAATCAGGAGCGAGAAGACAGTGACAAAGAAAGCGGCTACACTAAAATCAATGCAACAAACAGTAGCTATAAAACATTTCTGAACTGGTGTTACAAGGGATTTTGTTACAGACAAAACATGGGACGCATGGAGAGGCAAAGAATGAACTGCTGAAAAAAGAACAAATGAAAAAGAAGACCGTGTCTGTGTGTCAAACCGTAAACTTCAAAAAGCTCTGGGACTTCACCACAACTAATCTGAACTTAGTTTGCAAAATGTGTGCAGAGCTTCTCATCACACTTGCAACCGTGTACGTTCACACTCACAGCATCAGCAGACAGACACCTGAACAGCTTCACAGTTCTACATCAGTGCAAGACTGAGGGTTCCATAAAGCTCTTTAATGACGTAATGACTCACAGGCACATAAGCAAAGACCACGTCTCACCTCTTCTTTGCAGGACTGTCCTCACAGTACTCATTGCTCCCATCCAACCCCTGAGAGCGCAAGGACCCATCTTCTTTGTGGCTCCCCTTTGACCCCGAGCCATTCAGCTGCCCATTGGCTAGGGAACCTGAAAATACAAAGCACCAAATGGGGTTAGAGATACATTTTACTGGGTTATATTTCACTGACGACGTGTCGGAAACCTTCCGGCTCAAGATACCTGGCATGGGGTTTAATATTATTTACAATATAACAAGGTTTTCATCTGTCAGTTTTGATACAGTGGAGAGGGCTGAAAATAGAGTAAACACATTTCTCTTAGTAAGTTTATCTACCAGTGCAGTGTGTGCAGAATACTGAGGAAGATGGAAAGACAGACAGAGTGAAGGGGATAAATACAGCCAGAACACAAATTATTCATACATCTAGACTGTAGACTGAAGTCCTGCGCTGAAAACACTTGCAGCCAATCCTAAAATACTGACACATTGTCAATCAAGCGAATGTGAGTATTACTGGCTATTGCAGCATCAGGGGGGCAACATTTGAAAGGAAGGCATAGTTACTCATTCAATTCTCCGTCCACATTTTCCCTCGTCAAACGCAGCTATTGCTCTTTGCTGACGTATGTGATGTGTGCGCCTTTGACAAAGAATTAAAAAAAATAAAGCCTGAGGCAATGAGACAAGTGAACAGATATTGCTGGACTTGACATTCTTAGTGAGCTCAATTGACAGAGCCCCAATTAAATATTTAGCAAGCAGCTCAGACAAACAAAATACGCCCCCAGACAGATTCTTACATCAAAAGCAACAACAGGCACCGAGAATTCAAATTAGGTCAAACATAGGAGTGGAAGTCAATGGTAATTAAGGGAGACAACCAAATTAAATAGATATTACAAGGCTTGAATTCCTCATGGGCAGTTCCGAGTGATTCTTGGAACACGTCATATAGGCCTGTCTGATTCAACAGTAGTGCGTGCATGAGGAAACATAGAGGAAACAAGTGGGAAACTTCAAAGCTTTTCAGAGCTATTAAAAAAGAAGAATGAAGGAGCTGCCAAGGAGAGGGCACCCAGCAGCAGACAGATGGGCAGTCAAAGTCAAGCCTGTCCTACTCCCGCCAGCTGAAATATCACTTTGTAGAGCTGAAAGCTGATGATAGATATCGGTGAGTGAGCAAAGGAGCATCACGATTTGATGCTGACAGTGACTCATCACCTGTTTTTACCTGCTTTGACAAGTATCCATGCATGACAGGACTTCTGGAATGGCAGGTTGTTAGATTATTCATTTTTCTAAAACAAATGATGACTCCAGTAGGTTGTTTAAGCATGAACACTATAATCATAAGCACTTTCATTCACCAACATCTTCCCACTGGTATGCCTCTTTCTCATTCCTTGTGTGGTCCTTAGTTCAATGCCTTCCCAGCACACCCAGTGAAATTCCATTTGACTGAATCTTTGGAAGGATGTGTCACTCACCCACTCTTCATAGTGGGTGCCAAAAGTAAGAGAAATTAAGATAGCAACTGTGGAATACAGGCTGGGATAACTAGCAACTTGAATGATATACTGTTAGTGAGGACGCTACTGTCGAACAAGCTCAGGCATTGTGTCACCTGAGAAAGATGGGCCAGGGAGGGGAGACGCAAGATCAAATGACAGTACAGGAGACAGGATGGAGATGAGCAACTGTGGAGCAGGTAAATGGAGTTTTCAAAACATGCGATTTAAATGAGGTTTATAAATGTGCACCCATTACTGAGCACACACACAGAGTTCATCTTTCTCATTATTGCATAAATACATACAGGGCAGGTCAGTACCTGAGAGCGGAGGTACAGTCATAAGACACACATTGCTGCAGTCAGGAAGGTAAGAGGCGCTGGCATGATGAGTAAGGCCATTGCATTTTTGGCAATGCGATTTGTTGCTGTTGGAGAGCCTAAGTCTTTAGACCAGGGGTGAATCACAGCCTTACAATGTCTTGGTTGGCACGACAGGTTTACGTTTGTATGCCTTTAATCAATCAAGTGTTTCAATTAAAGTCCTCTGAATTTTTCCCTTTCAACCAAATAGCATTATTTCACAAGTAAAAAAAACTTCATATGGCAACAGAAAAATTCAGCTGAGCTACATTGGAGAACAATTTCTTTCCTTAATAAGGAGAAATTCCAAAAACTGACAGAGATCAGGACACCATCAAGAAAATGGTCAGTACAGAAATCTGGGAGAACCAATAAAAGATGATCACCACTTCTGGGCAATGTTTTGCCGGTGAAAGCGGCACTAGAGCGAAAAGCGAAATAGCTCATTAACTTTAATTATGCTCAGAAAATGACTGACGCATGATGTCCCCACAGAACGCAAACAAACCCCCTCTTTTTCTCCTTTTCCACTCCCTCCCTCCATCCATCCCCAAAGAGTTGTTGGACATATGCTGGTTGCACATGAGTGCCCGTCTGAGGGGCAGAGCTGGGAATTTTAGGAAGGCAGGAGGGCTGGGGATAGACGAGTACGGCAGACAGGCAGGGAGCCAGTGGCCGGTGCCTAAACTCAAGCTCCTGGAGCTGGTGGAGGGGGGTAGAGGGCCATGCTAGTATGTCATCCCAAAAGATGCTCCTATCGGGGGCGAGGCTAGTAATCAGATTTATGCATGCTTAACTAAGCCCATCACCTCACTTTACTGCAAAGTCTCGAGAGAGCAGGACGGTGTGAACAGAGGTACATAGCGTAACATGGCATATCACAGGGCTGAGAGGAGCTTATTAGTGTGAGCCACAGCAATGAGTGGTACTATAGCAGAGTAGAAATGCCATGTGAAAGACAGACAGCCATCGAGGGCAGATTGTGCCCTTACAGGTTCTGGATTACACTTGAAAACACAGGCCTAATATAAACGTGACTGCAGTGCCATACCTGATGGACAGAGAATCAGATACGGGCTGCAAATTAAAGCCATGATAAAAGATGTTTCTAGGTCAGTTAGGACATAGTGGTAATCTGTCCTTCAACTTCCCTGTCATTAACAATTTGCTGTTGAGACTCTAATGTGTTATGAGACTTTGATCTCTCTCTCCCTCTTGTAAATAGCAGCCCTGAAATTCTATTTCATGCCCTTTGTTCAAGTAATCCTCAGTGTATGTATACAATTAAAATTGTGGGATAATATAAAAAGAAACAATGGGTAGTTTTACTTTAGGGAAATTCCAAATAGCACCCATTCCCAGATGCTTTTCAGAGTACAAGCAGATACTAAAATTGACTGTCTGGCAAAAGGATTTGAAAAAACCCCAAAAATATTACTTTGCCTTCCAAAATTAGGCCTCACAGCACTGCATGGCACTTACCACAAGCCAGAACAAAAGCATACAACAATGTGCAGTTCAGAAACATGCCATCTGCTATGAGCAGTTCACGGCTGTAAATCTAAAACATCAAAGGCCAAGATGGGATTCTGTAGTGGCTATTGTGGAAAGAAAAGGGCATGCAAGGACAGAACAGATGCAATCGCTCTTTCACTCATTCGATTTGATACCTAAATCCGTCCTCTTTTGGCAAGTGTGATTCTGTCATTCATCTTCTTTTATCCCAGCTTCTATCCTTCTCTCTGCTGGTATTCCGTCATCTGTCCTTCTCTGCCAGGTCATGCTATCACTAGAGAGAGAACAGAGGAGCCCACACAGCATTTTAGCAGCTACTGCTGCCACTGTGGCCATGTAAGGAGCTGGCAGCGTGGTAATAAAGGCAGACAGCAGAGTGACAGTAGAGAGTGTTAAAGAAAAGGGGGTTACATGCAGGTAGAAATGGCAGTACCTCTGATGAGCAGACAGATAGGGGAAAAAAAGAGAACACAGACAGAAATGGGCAAACCCTCTCTTCAGCTCCTCCTGGTTTTTGGCCAGCAGCCAGCTACTCCATCAATAGCACTCAAGGAAATGGAGAGGGAGAAAAGGAAAGGAGAGGAAAGGAGGGGTACAGATGAGTATAGCAGAGGGAGATGGTGAGGTAAGGAGGTACAGCAAGAAGATGAAGCTTTAATGACTTAGAACTGGAAAGGAAGGGTGGGAAACAGGACAGAGGGAAGGAAAGGAAGGGTGGTAAAGAATGGGAAAGAGGAGGGAGGGTTTGCGTGACAGATACTGTAGATAGTTAAGACAGATGGGGCAGAGGACAGGAAGGACAAAGCAGAAAAGAGGGAGACAGAGACAAATGAAGGGAAGAGAAGGGAGAAGAAGGCTACAGTGAGGGAGGGGTGGAGATACATAATTGAGGATTGAGCAGTAGGAGAGAGAGAGAGAGAGAGAGAGCAGACAGGAGCTTGTGGAGAAGGCAGTAACCAGAGTACTATTGATGTGTAATGAAAACCTGCATTGGGGGAGAGACAACCGGAAGGACAGATGGGTAGAAGGAGATAGGCGTGAGAAACAGGGAAGAAGAGGAAGAACGCTGTTACAATAGAGTGGGAGAAGGATGAGTGGGTGAACAACCGGAAGCCGAGACGCAGAAGGGCATAATGTCATTTGTTAAATAATGCAGGGAGCGAGTGTGAAAGGCAGGAAGCGTGATGGACACAGAGATGGATGTGGCTGCCAACAGCGAGAGGTAAAGTGGCTGGGGAGATGGCATGATTGCTGGTTATGGGCAGGGAGAAGACTGGGTGGGTGGGGAGATAGACTGACACACACACATACAGCTGACTGACAAAGTGCCACACCCCCCTCTAAAACAGATAGCCACAGCTGCCATGCAGTGAAGGAGAGAGCAGGGGAAAGCGAGAGGTTGGGGATGGATGGAGGTATGTGGGGAGATAGAGATGCCTGGGGAGGGGGGTGGGGGATGGAATGGGGGATGCCGCTTTTCTGAGGCTTAGAGCCACTGTACTGCTCTAACCTCCTTCAGTAGGATGACACATACTTCCCAAAAATGGTGGATGCTCAGTTCAAAATACCCTGAAGCAACTAACTGATTTTCTTTATTATTTAATCAAAACAAACAATTGGCAGATTAACTGAGGAGCCAATCGACAGCAAATTCACCAGCAACTATTTTTATAATTAAGCAAATTTAAACCAAAATTCCTCTGCAACACAAAGAGATATTTTGTGATTTTGTTTGTCTCCTGTGGTAGAAACCTAAAAAAATCTTTGGTTTTGGCCTCTTAGTCACTTTCAAAGACACCTTACAATTGCATACGCTCTGACCAACAGTCCAAATCCCCAACATACTGTTATATTGGTATAAAATACAGAAAAGAAAAGCATCCTTACATCTCATAAGCTGAGACCAAGGAATGTTTGGCATTGTTGCCTGATAAACCAATAAACAATTGTTCTTTTCTGCTAAACAGCAAAGCAAATGTTTAGACATCACAGTAATCTCTCATGGTCTTCGGCTCTCCTTGTGGAATATTTGATTAACAGGTACATATGCCATCTGATTCTCCAAAATGGCAGATAGTTTCACAATAATGTCTGTGCGAGACTTAAAACTGTGGCACATGTCTGGCCCCCAACATAAACCCAGAGTCCTCTAAAACAGCAGGGGCTGCCTATTGAGGTTGTAGCACACGCTGAGTGTGATCCTCCAAAATGGCTGACAGTTTCACCACAACATCTAAGCGAGACGGGAAACTGTGCTGTTCGTACAGCCTCCAAAGCCTTGCTAACCCACAGTGCTCTAAAACAGCAGGGCCCATCTATTCATCCCTGTTCCCTTTTGTGTCAGCGGGCCTGCTGTCGTTACCCCTTGGGCGGAGGGCCGCCGACGCTTTCTAATGAGTCATTTTTATTCAGGCGATAAGGTCAGCCACCCGCGGCGGCTTAAAAGGCCCTGAGGAGCTCTGGAGTGGCAGCTATGAGATGCCAGACAGACACACAGAGATACATTAGCTACACGAAGGGGAGGGGACCCTCAGCACAGGCATAGAGAGAAGAAATTAAGGTGTGAAAATATATAAAGGGAAAATAGGAAAGGAAAAAAAATGTATAAAGATGCTACATTTCAAAAGAGATTTCCCTCCTGTCTGCCTGCCTGCCTGCCTGCTTCCCTTTCTGACTGGCTGGCTTCCTTGGCTGGGCGTGAACTTTCAGAGGCTCCTTTTTCCTCCTGCTTCCTTTTTTTCCTGTGTCTGGGTTGTGTTAATGTCAGCTGAGAATAGCTTCTGAGGCACGTGTGAAGTTCAAATCTCCTCTGTTGGCTTGCTGAGGGCTTTGTTTGTGTGTATGTGTGTGTGTGTGTGTGTGTGTGTGTGTGTGTGTGTGGGCGCCCCAGTGTTTAACACACAC